TGAGCCCAGGAATTCGACACCACCCTGAGCAATATGGTAAAATCCTAGCTCTACAAAAAAATACAAAAATTAGCCTAGCATGGTGGTGCACACCTGGAATCCCAGCAACTCGGGAGGTTGAGGCACGAGAATCGCTTGAACCCAGGAGGCAGAGGTTGCAGTGATCTGAGATCACGCCACTGCACTCCAACCTGAGTATCAGATCGAGACACTGTCTCAAAACACTTTTTTTTTTTTAACAGAAACATTTTATCCTTCAAGTGAAGGAGGGTATATTCGTCACATTTTTTATTAGTAGCATGACCCTTTTAGCAACTATCTGCCACTCAGTAATCTAAATAAAACTTACTTTGCTGGAATTATTCAGAAGCAAAGGAAAAAAATACATTGGAAGTTATTTTTTAAGAGTTAATAATAACCCAATATGAAAATGGGAAAAGGATACATTAATAAACAACTTACAAAGTAATTACAAATTTTCAGTAAATGTAAGAATATATCTAATTTCACTAAAAAAAAATTAAAATTATAACATGCCATTTTTTTCTTTTTTCTCTTTGTGGGTACATAGTAGGTGTATATATTTACATGCCATTTTGCCTACAAAATTTATAAAGGTTGAAAAAACCCTCTATTGATAAGCATGTTAGAAAATGGGTACTCAAATATTGTTGGCAGTAATTTAAATTTATGTAACTTTTCTGGTGGTCATTTAACAATGTGTTTCAAAAACCTTCAAATGTGCATAAGCTTTGACTTGACATTCTACTTCTACAAACTCATTTTTAGAAAATAGTCATGGGGCTGGGCATGGGGCTTGGCCCGGTGCAGTGGCTCACGCCTGTAATCCCAGCACTTTGGGAGGCCGAGGCGGGCGGATCATGAGGTCAGGAGATTGAGACCAGGGTGAAACCCCATCTCTACTAAAAATACAAAAAATTAGCTGGGCGCAGTGGTGGGCGCCTGTAGTCCCAACTACTCGGGAGGCTGAGGCAGGAGAGTGGCGTGAACCCAGGAGGCAGAGCTTGCAGTGAGTTGAGATTGCACCAGGGCACTCCAGCCTGGGCAATAGTGTGAGACTCCATCTCAAAAAAAAAAAAAAAAAAAAAAAAAAGAGATTGTTCTGTTCTGTATATATTGAAACAGAATGATCTACATTATATATTGCTAACCCGTCTACACTGTATATTGCTAACTAAAGTTATGTGGAGAAAAGTGTAAATAGCATGAATAGCATACTATCATTTCTGTAAAAAAAGAAAAATTACATATTTGTTTCATTAAGCATATATCATCTCTGGAAGAACACATAAGGAACTACATATGGGAAAAAAAACTGAATATATCGGGACAGGGTAGGAAAGAGAGACTTCATTGTATAATCTTGTGTACTTTTGAATTTTGAATCATATGAATATATTAATTTTTATAAGTAAAATAATATCATAGAATATTAAATGACATGGGAAGGAGTTCTACTTTCAGTGTGGCTAAGTGAGCTCCTATCAGGTCAACCGTCCTGCAGATAACTATCAACTTGGGACAAAATACAGAAAAACAACTACCTGAAGGCTCTTTACAATTAACAACCGAAGTAACATTCTGGAGGAAAGGTGAAAGTTGGGAGACAGAATGAAGCATAGGGTAAGTTTATTTTTGTTATGGCTTTAGCTTGAGGGAAGCCCGTGGTCAATGCTGTGTCATTCTATGCAGGCTGCAATAGAAAACCTTGGTGTTTCTGGCCTGAACAACCAGACCTCAACCACAAGCAGTAGAAAGGGAGGGGGCAGGCTGGGTGCGGTGACTCACGCCTGTAATCCCAGCACGTTGGGAGGCCTAGGAGGGTGGATCACCTGAGGTCAGGAGTTCGAGACCAGCCTGACCAATATGGTGAAACCCCATCTCTACTAAAAATACAAATATTAGCCGGGCATGGTGGCATGCGCCTGTAGTCCCAGAGTGAGCTGAGATCGTACCACTGTACTCCAGCCTGGGTGACAGAGCAAAACTCGGTCTCAAAAACATAAAAAAAAAAAGAAAAGAAAAGAAAGTGAGGGGGCAATCACATAAAAGAGAGTCAGAGAGAGAGAACCCCCAAATTCTGTGTAAAAGAACTGCCCAAATCTCCATCTGATTGCTGATTAAGCATGTGTGGGGCAGACGGCAAACAGCTCAGCTAAGGATAAAAGAGCTAAACTGAAATTTGAGTTGCCAACCAGGAGACAGAATTTGCAGGCTGAGTACAACCAACTAAAGTATGTGCTAAAACAAGAATTATCTATTTGTTCTTAGGTGAGTTTGGTGGTTTGTAGCTTTCAAGGAACTGGTTCATTTCCTCCATGTTACTGTATGTCTAATCATAGTTTTGAGCCATCTTCTGTGGGCTAGATTCCCATGTCAGTTGTTTACAAAACCTTTCTGCAGTGCTCTTTTACTGTCCTAAAAGAGCGCTATCCAGTGGCCAGTATGGAAACTGAGCAGTTGTCTACTCTATAGGTTAGCTCTCAAAGGCTTTGGTATGCTATTTAGGGTCAGATACACCTATTTACAGCTTAGGGTAGGCCCAGGTATTTTTATACAACTTCATGGGATTTCTTTCTTGAGCTACCTCACCTCTGCTTCTCAATTCTCCCTAACATTCTGGCTTCCAGGGATCCCCCTTCCAGGTCCTCTAGCTAGAACAACAGAGCCTTGGTGGTCTCCCTTCTTTGCCCAACTGCGTCCCACATCTGGGTCTGCCTCTGAGGCCAAGAGGCAGGAAAACAGAGAGAGGGCAAAAAGCAACAGAACTTCTCCTATGGTCTTTGGACCACAATTCCTCTAGTGGGAGAGAATTCCCTTCCCTTAGAGTTTAGATGCCTCCCAGCAGCTGCTACCATCATCACATAACCATCACAAGATTGCAGATTCAGAACTGGAGTTTGCCTGGGAGCTGGGATGAGACAGAAAGCAAGCAGCAAAAAAAATTAATTAATTAATTTAATTAAATAAAAATTCCCAGGAGATTTCTCCCATGCTGTGTCTTGTTGGTGTCCACCTTCCCTCTCCTCAGACAAGAAAAAGAAGGTATCTCTTGGAGCTCTTTCTGTTGACACCCAGTACATAGTTCTGGGATTCATGCTGTTTAACACTAGGCTGGATGAAATGAGAAAAACAACAACAACAACCACAACCATGAAACTCACTCCTGGGTCATTCCTGCTTTGACTCTGCTTTTTTTGCCCTGCTGACTGCTCCTTTTTACTTTTAAGACTCCTCAGAAAGCTGCTCCATGCATTCTTTCCAGATTTTCAGTTATATTCAGAGAGAGAGAGAGACAGAGTAGAGTTTACTTATTCCATCTTACCTGCAACCAGAACCAGCCTCCATTAAATGTTAATGAACTATACTCTAATTATTTAATTTTTAATTTTTAAAAATTTTTTGAGACAGAGTCTGGCTCCGCTGCCCAGGCTGGAGTGCAGTGGTGCAATCTCGGCTCACTGCAACCTCCGCCTCCTGGGTTCAAGCGATTCTCCTGCTCCACCTCCCAAGTAGCTGGGATTACAGATACCTGCACCACACCTGGCTAATTTTTGTATTTTTAGTAGAGACGGGGTTTCACCATATTGGCCAGGCTGGTCCCGAACTCCTGACCTCAAATGAACTGCCCTCCTTGGCCTTCCAAAGTGCTGGGATTACATGCATGAGCCACGGCGTCCAGCCACTCTTTATAATTATTATTATAAAGATGCTAAACATGCTTAAGGATTTTTTTAAAACTTGAAAGTAAAGAATAGAGAAATGGGAGTTATACAGAAAGAACCAATGGAACTTGTAGAGATTAAAATTATAATAACAAATTAAAATATTACTAGATGAGATTAATAGCAGATTAAATGCAGAAGAAAAGATGAGTGAACTTGAGGACATAACAGTAGAAACTATCCTAATAGTCGTAGAAGTTACATCTTCACCTGAACCCCCATGTAACAAATATTTTCAATGGCAAATACATGTAGATTCATTATAGCAGATTTCCCATTTGGATAGGAAATTTGAGTAAAATATAAATATTTGTCATATCAAATATTCATATAATGGGTATAGAAATACAGGTATGCTGGGATCTTGTCTGGTTTACTGGTTATAAACCAGTGTTTGTTTCTCACCAGCTAGCTCCAGGTGAGCTCCCAAAATAAATATGGCTCAGAGTTCAATCTCTTACAAGAAACTGTATTGATCCACATCCTGGAGCAGCAGGCAGCTCAATTCCATCCTAAACTCTGGGTAGGGAGTGGACTAGCATTTTTCAGACTCGTAGCCTTAATAAGGAGTCCAGTTCCTGTTCCCCAAATGTTGATCTTTTTCAATTATACACATACATTCTCATGGATGTTAACACTCTAGCGTCTAAGGTGTATATCTGGTCCAGAATCCCCCAACTGACACGGAGATAAGGAGGATTGTGTGGGCCCTCTCTTCATTTTTGGTACCTGGTGATTTTCTCTTCTTGTATTTGAACTTAGCTATATATGTCTTTAACGTTTAAATGTTTTATCCAACATTTCTCAAGTTTTGGAGTGGAAAGAGGGAATTTGAATATCTGCTCAGTTTGTCTTCTGGCCAGAAATTCTATATATAAGAAAATAATCGATAAGAGTACTACCCAAAAATAAATAACAGCAGCAGCAGCAATAGTCAAAGAAGCCTGTCTCCAGGTTGCAGTGAATTCTCAGAAGAAAAGTAATCTCAATTTTGTTTTAAGAATATTAATAAGAACTGAAAAAATGCATCTGAGCATGGAAAATCTGAACTTTACCTTCAAAAGAATCATGACCCTTTCACAATCGTATAATACTTATCTCAAAAAATAGCTTTATGATAAATAAATAGTTTTCATTTTAATAGAACAATCTTTTTACTAATTATAATTCTCCAAAATAGATTTTGTCATTCCCATATTACATCTACACAAAATATAGTTTGTCATCCTAATATTATTTATATGATAAAATTACCTTTGTGCTTCTTTAGAAGCTTGTAGCCTTCACAGTATCTGCCTGATGAAGTCATCATCTTGGCTGTGTCAAGATAGGAATATGCTGCAGCAAAATCAAACTCCTTTTTACCATCCCACCAACCTTTCCGCTTAGCATAGTTTCTCATGTCTGGGTGTTCCCGGTCTATCTTGGTTGTTATGGAAAGCTGATTAGAAATATTACGAACTCCCTCTATTTTCAAAGAAGAGGAGAAAGAAGAAAAGTCATATTTAACATAAAGCACGTATCTGTACATTATGATGCCTACTCACTATGTAAACGTAAATATAGACTTCTAAATTTTGTGCCATGGGCATCTATTACATATTTAAAAAGATAAATGAATTATTTTTAAAATTAAACTTATTTTGAGATAATTATGGATTCACATGCAGTTATAAAAAAATAATACTGAGAGATACTGTGTACCCTTCACCCAGTTTCCCCCAATGGTAACATCTTGCCAAACTGTAGTATAACATCACAACCAGAATATTGGTATTGCTATAGTCAAGATGAAGAATACTTCCATCACCACAGGGATCCCTCATGTTGCCCTTTTATAGCCACACCTGTTGGGAGCAAGCCCCCCAAAATCTGGCCATAAACAGGCTCCAAAACTGGCCATAAACAAAATCTCTGCAGCACTGTGACATGTCCATAATGTCTACATTGTGCCACTACTTACTGCAGCCTCGACCTCCTGGGTTCAAGCTATCCTCCCCACCTCAGCCTCTTGAGTAGCTGGAACTATAGGTACACGTCACCACACTCAGTTAATTTTTGTATTTTTTGTGGAATTGAGGTCTCACTATATTGCCCAAGCTGGTCTCACACTGCTGGGCTGAAGTGATCCTCCTGCCTCAGCCGCCCAAAGTGCTGGGATTATAGGCATGAGCCACCATGCCCAGCCAATAATTTTCCATCTAATAAATAATTCCCTGTCATTTAACAATTTAGTTATTGGGCCTAGTTAGTAATAGAAAGAGAAACCAGTTGGCTAAGTTAATCTACAGCTAGACAATGAGACCCAATGAAGGTGTTCATTTTAGATGGCCAGGTGGGGCTTTTTCAACAAAATGTATTTATTAATTTCTCTCTTGCATGTAGTACATTTAATAAAATAAAAGTGCTCAATGGTATTATCAAGCCAATTATCACAAAAAGAAAACTTCTAACTACAATGTTATATATTAATAAACATATATGCAAAACATAAGACAAAATGTCCATCAAAACAACTGGTAATGATCTGTTTTGAAAAATAACACCCAAATCCTCCAAAGTTCAAGGCTACCTTCATGAAGCCTTTCTGAACTCCTCTAGCTCACAATAATAACCTTTCTGTTCTCTAAATGTTCAGAGCATCTATGTGTCTGTATCATTCATGCACCATTTAACATTTTCACACGTGTATCTTATCTCTCTAGTAAAATAGGAGTCCAGGAGTTAAATACCCAAGATGGACATGATTATGCTTAAACATAAGGCTATGTTCTAGTGACGAGATTCAAGATAAAAATATTTAAATTCTAGGTCTTTCATTTACCACCTTAAATCACTTTACATCTCTGGCTTTCCTCACTTGAAAAATTAGAGGAATATATGATCACAAAGGAAATGAGAATGAAAAATCAAAGCATTCTAAAACAATTAAATAATGTTTTATTCAAAGATATCAAACTTCTGTGTTTTACTATTGTATCAACATAGCTTTTCCAACCACCAACTCACAAACACCTGTCTTTAACCCCACTCTCATTTCCTCACCTCCACACTAAAATAAGATTTTGGAGTGCAGCCCAAAGTTTAATGGGGAAGAAATTGTACGGGATTATTAAAGTGAAAAAGTACGATGAAACGGCCAAGAGCTGCAGCAAAGAAAGTATATACAGGTTATATGAAATTCATATTCCCAGAGGTAATGCTACCTTTTTATATTTTTCAAGAAAGCTCTTTATGGCACTTTTTCCATTGTTCTTTCAAATTTTTAAATTTCCCTTACAGTTCAACCCTTCATTATACTAGATTATTAATCTTGGAAGCATTTAAATGCAGTATCTACAGGTAAGGGTATATTTTATTAATTGCAAAAACAAGTTAAATCACAAAAAGTTGTCCATACCTTGTACTTTTTCTGCTGCCCAGTACTTCCCTGCAGTCTCCAGAATCCAGGCTTCATTCCTATCAGCTATTAGGAAACTGTTGTGATAGCTAAATACCATCCTACCCTCTGTGCAATTTCCACCCTGGCCATATTTTTCTAATAAGTCAACAATGACATTGAGGGCTTTTTCAGCTGTATCAGCTCTTTCAAGGCCAAGTCTAAAACAAAAATATAAAGTTCTCAGATTAAAATAAATTTCCATTATTTTTCTTAAATAATTTCATGCTCATGAGATTTTTTAGATTTCCCCAAGTAAACTTTCTTCCAAGTTAACAGATGAAATGACATCTAACTTTAAAATTTTTCCTTCTGAAGTCAGTTTGGAATCATGGAAACAAAGTTTCTAGAGTCAAACAAACCTATCAAATTTGAAGTTGGTAATTCACTGTCAAGTTACTTTATCTCTGAACCTCAGATATCTCTTTTGTAAAATGAGCACGATAGCCCATGAGGTTATTGTGAGAATTAGTTAAGGTGTGATTAAAATATGTTAGGCACTTCCAATGAATCATAATTTCCTACTTCTTCCCTTCTCCCAAATAATAATATCTGAAAGCTGGGCATGGTGCCTGTGCCTGTAATCCCAGCTACTCAGGAGCTGAGGCAGGAGAATGACTAGAGGCCAGGAGTTCAAGACAAGTGTAAGCAACATAGCAAGACCCTAGTCTCTGAAAAAAAAATTTTTTTAAATTAAAAATTAGCCAGGTGTGGTGGCATGTGCCTTTGATCCAAGCTACTTGGGTGACTCAGGTGGGATGATTGCTTGAGCTCAGTAATTCAAGGCCATAGTGAGCCATGATCACACCATTATACTCCAGCCTGCATGACACAGTGAGATCTCATCTCAAAAAACCAAAAATTAATTAATTTAAAAAACCAAACAAAACTGAGAGTCATGAAATTGCATGCCGGTACTTTAAAACATTTTGACACAAACTGCAAAGCATCAAAGCCCCCTCAAAAATAGGAAAAGAAAACAAGTAAGAGTTACACAAAAATTACGAATTAGAAAAGGTCTATAGCATGAAACGTAACAAAAAATAACCTGACAAGATCCATTCCTAATAGTGCTTCTTCGTCACAAACTTCTTCTCTTCCCCATACAGCTTCATTCCCAATGCAAACTCCATGCTCATTGGCTCCCATTTCTGCCCCCCACAACCATGCTGGGCGACTCAGGACAACAGCATACGTTTCAGGAACTTGATCAATTTCTATATACGTACACTGTAAAAAAAAAAAAAAAAAAAAAAGTCATAGCAAGAACCACAAAACCAGAAAAGTTATCAAAATCCAGAATTTAAAAAAATCAGTCAGAAGACAAGACTGTTATGAAAGAGGTAAAGGAAATATAAGTAAATTGAAATTTTCAATAATAAAAGCATTACCCTTAAAACATATCCAGAATAACCCTAAAGTATTTATTCATTCAAATATTTGCTGAGCATTTCCTATTATAAAACATTCTGCCAAGAGATATGGTAGTTACAAAGATGAATCAGATAAAGATCTCACTTTTGAGAAACTAAAACTGGTACATTAATTAAGATAAAATAAAGTATAAAGTATTAGGGTCATGAAGTGAAGACAAGGTGCTACTGAAGCTCAGGAGAAAGATGGTCTCTAGCCGTAATATCTTGAAACATTTTTGTAGATGTGTGAGTTGAAGCTTAAGGAAGTAGTTCTCAACCTCAATATCCAGTGTTTCTTAATTAGTGATATAAGTACCCATCTGGTACTTCAAATACAAGAGTTTTGTCATAGGAATCTCACATCACATTTTGAAGTCATCTATTAGGTATGTCCACAGCAATGAAAAGAATGAGAACCACTGGTTTACAGGACAGGCTAGATTTATATCTGAAGAAATAAAGTGGAAATGGTATCACAGATGAATAAGTGGTCTTAGCAAAAGAAAAAAATATGACATAGGATACAGAAAACAGTCTAATATTTAATATGTTTTAATATTAGAATATCAATAAAATAAAATCTAAAAAGTATGAATTAGCAACAATAGCATAATTTGAAGCTCTCATTTTAAGTTCCACATTAAATGGGTTTTTAAAATAAGTTTTTAAAGGATCCTTTAATTAATGTGTATACTACCAAGTGACTGCATAAAATGTATATTGATAGTGTTAACATAGGGCCTAAAAAACCTTTTTTGATGTGTCATAAAACTGTCATTTCCAGAGTCTGGGATGACTTTCCTATTCTACATCAAGAAGAACCTATACCAATTCAGAATCAGAATCCTTTTTGTCCATCAAATTCCAGCTAACTCCAAGCCGCATTAAATGTTCCTTCTCTTCTGCTGCCACAGCATGCTACTCTTACTTAAATTTAGCATTTAAACCACCCAGTTTTATAATGGGGTATAATGCATACACATCTTATTCCTGTACTAGACTCTAAGCTCCTGGAATAGTCAGAGTCTTGACAGCTGACTTTAAATCTCTTGCCCTATCTAACATGCTTGCATATGGAGAGCATTCAAATATTTATTCAAAGAATGGATAATTTTATTATTATTTCAACTTCCTCCAAATCACTGAAATAAAAGATTACGGTTTATTTCTGACTCATTTATTTTTCAAATGTAAATTCCTCAATTTTAACTTTTATAGTTTCTTCCAAGTTCCTATTTATAGAAATAACTTTATGATATTTTTTAAATAACTTTATGATATTGCTAACAAAACATTTATTTCACCTACCTTAAGATGTTCTCCCAGGTTATTATGAACTGCAGCAGGAAAATAAACTACCTCTTGTACTTCATCACAGAGTCTATCTGAATTTTTTCCAAAAATAATCCTGTTATCGACTGTTGCTGGAGGTAATGCCACGAACGTGTCACAGGAAAAAGGTTCCATTTTTTAAACTAAAAATTATACAGATGTTTTAAAATTTAAAAAAAAAAACACCTTTAAGTATATAAAAACAAACAATTTTACTCAATGACCAAAGGATATTATTGCCATATTTAATTAAGGATGTTCATTAAAGCTTTGATTTTTTAATTTTTATTTTTTGGAGACAGGGTCTAGCTTTTTCACCCAGGCTGGAGTGCAGTTATACAATCAGGGCTCACTGCAGCCTGGAACCCCTGGGCTCAGGAGATCCTCCCTCTTCTGCCTCCCAAAGCCCTGGGATTACAGGCATGAGTGACCATTCTTGGTTGTTCATTAAAGTTTTACATTTTGTATACTATAGCCTAAAAATCAATAAGACTATGACTTGGGACTCAATCTTGTACTACAACTCAATAAGAAAATGGCAATGAAAACTACCTTCTTACAGTTTATAGTTCACATTTATTCTCTAAGATCTTTCTCTCCTAAAGTCTTCCCTGAATTTCCTTTCACCATTTCCACATTTGGAAATCCCTGTACCTAGCTCTACTGTTGTAAAGGCTAGATTCTACTACATTTGTGTATATATAAGTCCCTTTACTGGACAATGAGATCCTTGAGGGCTGGGAGTATGTCTTACTAATCTTTGTATTCTCATTGCTGGAACTTGTCTTTTGGAAAAAAATCTTATGTGCCCATGCTTCCTCAAGGGAAGGAAGAAGGGGTCTTATTTGAGCTGGGAAATAATACACACAGATTATAATTCTGATGAGACTGAAATTTTGAAACAGACTCATTGATTCAGACAAAAATATGTCAATATAATTTCAAATTGTTGGCATTTCTAGAAGAAAGTTCACATATTTAATTTATAAATCGCAATTATATACTTTAATATCTAGGTTACCTCTTCAGTTGTAATTTGGAAAATCTTAGATCTTCACTTATAATAGAACACCTAAAGATCCTTATTTCGCTGCCAGAATGGACACATTGTTTTACAGAGTTTCCTTCTTTCCTTTAATAATGACAAAACCTTAGAATGGCTTTACACAGGCAGATGCTAGCAATTTAAAAACAAAATTTAAATATAATAAATGTTTCCTTAAAAAGAAAACAAAATGAGTAAAGAAAAACTTCAGCCTGAAACTCCTAAGGGTTTTCCTGTTCTCCTAGTGAGAAGTCTGATGTCTTGATGGCTTCTGTTATTTTCTTTCTGTGTTTCAATCCTTATGTCCTGGATCTCCTTCTATTTGTGTTTTATAGTTAGTTCCATCACTATATAATTTTGGCAGACTATTTAATCTCTCTCTTCCCTATGCCTTCTGCCTCACCAGTAAAATAAAAAAGACACTGTTTGATGGGCTGTTAGAACTTAATAAGGCAACATGTAAAGTGTTTTGCACAGTGCATAGAACATACTAGATATTCACGTGAAAGCTGTTGTTGTTATTTGGTAAGAGAGAAAATTTCTCATAAAGTCTTATTCTTTTTTTTTTTTCCCCCTGACAGTTTAACTCTTGTTGCCCAGGCTGAGTGCAATGGTGCAATCTCGGCTCACTGCAACCTCCGCCTCCCGGGTTCAAGTGATTCTCCTGCTTCAGCCTCCCGAGTAGCTCAGATTACAGGGGCGCGTGCCACCACACCCGGCTAATTTAGAGTAGAGACGGGTTTTCACCACGTTGGCCAGGCTGGTCTACGAACTCCTGACGTCAGGTGATCCACCCACCTCGGCCTCCCAAAGTGCTGGGATTACAGGCGTGAGCTACCGCGCCCGGCGTAAATTTATTCTTAACATTACCCTGATAGAGAGCTTGGTTGGTGGGTCACCTGCTGCAGAAGCAGCCACGTCCACTCAAAAACCTGGAGTCCCAAGGTCCATCAAGCTGCAATAGGTAATCTGAGCTGCCTAACTGGGGTGGTAGGGAAAGCTAAGGAAACTTGCCGCCTGGTTAGAATGGCACCTAGCCCACTGAGGAGGTGAAGCCTTGAGAGATTTTACTAACTCCTAACGTGTATTCGTCATTCAGTAAGTCTTTATTGAACGTCTTTCGGCGCCAGCACCGTACAGCTGGGGCAAGGGCCTCCGTTCTTGCAAAGCTGTCTCATTCTATTTCACGCGCTCTTAGTTCAGCGGGCGCTTTCAGAAACATATCGTTGGATTCTCGCAAACATACTACAGTTAGGGCAGGAATTATTATCTCCATAACAGAGATGAGAAAAACAGTGCAGAAAAGTTTTTGCAGCTCGAGTCAGAGTTCACAGAAAGTAATGGGCTCGAGCTTCAAGCACCTTTGGTCGAAGGGCCGCCGCGGTCCACCCCGCACCCCGGCCCTGGGCGCTCAAATCGCAGCCAGCGCAGCTGGGCTCTGGAGCCCCTCGGTTAAGCAGTACCGCCCCACAGTTGGGTCTTCCCGGTTTCTGTCTCAACTATGCACGCCCCTCCCCCGTGCACGCCCCTCACCTGGCCTCCAAACTACCCGAAGTGACAGGTGGACGGAGGGAGGATTGGCCAGTGTAGGCATCAATTGCCGGAAGCTGTTACCTTTGACCTCGGAAGTTCCCCCTGCCGCTGGAAAAGCAGTTCCGGTTAGGAGACTGAGTTTGTTTACGTTACTTACAGATCTAGGTGCCGCTTTCCCTAGCTCCAGTTCCAAGATGGGGAAATCCTTCGCCAACTTCATGTGTAAGAAAGACTTTCATCCTGCCTCCAAATCCAACATCAAAAAAGTGAGTAAAGAGACCCGGGGAGGGATCAGGCCCACGGAGACTGCCTTCCCTGAGGTGCTGGAAGTGAAAGTGGTGATGTCTCTGAGGTCCGTAGGACAGCCCCGCTTCTCTAGGCCTAAAGCCCCGTAGTCTCGCCTTTCTCTGCTGAGCAGCTCGCTGACGCAGGGGATCCTCAGCGTTTATTCTGCAACAGCGAGGAGACCGGCGGCCTAGAGAATCTTTGTCGCCCGGAATGTAAATCCATAATATGTGAAGACTAATGTCAAAATTCCTCAGTACTTCCCTCAGCTGATTCTGGTTTTTTGTCTTTTCGGATCCCAGGGATCACGGCTTCTGAACTCTACTTTTCTGTACAAAGAAGTCTCCACGTTTATTTAAGATAGATCTTTAAAAAATTTACCCAATAATCTAGTGTCTTTTTAATGACCTCGTTGAAGTTTAGTGTTTTACGTAATTACAGGTCTACCAGGTGTAATACCTTGGTGAATATCATAGTAATGAAAAGCAGAAGAGTGAATTAGAAAGAATCGGCTTTCGAGTCAAATCTGGATTCTAGTTATTCGAGCAGTCACTTTTAGCCTTAAGACCTTGCACAAAATATTTGTAATATCTGACCCTCAGTCTCCTAATCTGTAAATTAAGGGTGATTGGCTTAATTGTGAGGATTAAGTGAAATAGTGGAGATAAAGGATTTGAAACAACGTAGGCATCTATCACTGTTCGCTACAGAGAGGAGGTGCTCAATAAAATGTTGATTGCCCCATGTAGAAAGTTGTGAAAATAACTAAGCTTTTATTTGTTTTTAGAACCAGTTGAGGTGATGAGATATTGCTATATACTCTCACTTCTAGACCAGTGATTCTCAACTTTTTTTCACTGTTACCTTCCTAAGGAGCCTTATTAAACATTTTTTCTTAGTAACTCCCCCATGAAATTTTAATAACGCGGATACACCTTGAAAGCTCTTTGGTAATCATCCAGCCCCATCTCCTTATTTTATAAATGAGGAAACAAATTTGCCAAGAGTTACACAGCTAGTTAAATGTTGTACCAGAACTAGAATCTGGAACACCCGATTAACCTAGTGATTTTTTCCGCCGCACCAGTTTGTGTTTGCGTGGTTGCAACTGTGGGAGGGAGAGGTTTCTTGTATTTGGTTGGCTCAATAACTGTTGACAGCAAACACAGACGTTTCCTTTCTCTGCATACTCAGGGGGTCAGCTATTACTAGTTTTACAAGAATGAAGAGATTAGATGGAATTCAGTTGCTTGCTTAGTTGCTGTTTATATTTAGAGACAAATATACCCGAGAAATCATAATTTTTTACTGGAACTTTTGACATTTAGCGTTATAAAAGTCATTGAATCAGCTTTCTTACAAGAAAAAAGAAATCCACGGAGAATAACTTTTGCAAATCCCCTATGAGAAATTCAGTAAAGCAGTTATAGGCTTAGAACCTACATTCTTCTCATCCGTGTAAAGTGTTAAGTAAAATGTACCAAATACTGTTGGCCTTTGTGATCTGTTTTATACTTTTCCCAGGATAGAGGAGAAGAATGAAATGTTTTTGATTAGCAGACCTTTCTAGATAGTTAATACTTTATGGGGAGAGGGGGTAACCTCTAACATTCTTAATTAACTAAGGATAGAGGAACTATATTAAATGAAGATAAATAGAAAAATGTATTCGGGTAGGAGGAAACTTTTGGAGATGATGGATATGTTTATAGTCTGGATTGTGGTGATGGTTTCTCAGGGATATACTTGTCACCAAACTCAGGTTGTATACATTAAATATGTACAACTTTTTATATGTCATACTCCAGTAAAGTTTGTTTGTTTGTTTTTAAGAAGTAGAAGTGGAAGAAACAAAGGAGTTTGATCAAAGAGTGCAAAGAGTTCCACCATGAAAATTTTAAGGGCCAGGTATGGTGGCTCATACCTATAATCCCAACACTTTGAGAGGCCAGGAATTCAAGACCAGCATGGGCAACAAAGTGAGACCCCCATCTATATTTAAAAAGAAAGAAAGAAAATTCTAATTGTAAAATTAAGCATGTTGGGTTTATTAAAGTCCAGTAGGTTCTTTTTTTCCTTGTTCGTTTTCAGTTTCCCAAGCTTACAAAGAGTCTGGTAGGTTTTAAGGTCTCATTTGTTCACCAGAAATAAGAGTGAATGCTATACATCTGCTGGTCACTCTGTTATGTATTGTTATGCGCTGCCTCAGTCATTTATGTCACAGGATACACTGTTTTAGTTCAGCTGTTCTTTTTTTTTTCTTGATATTGTTAATGAAGGAAGCAGTTAATTTACATTGTGGTCCAAGCTCCTTATTTGTCTTCTTGTGAACTGGCAAACACTTTACAAACCGGCTATTGACAATAGCACCACTGTAAACTCCTTTTTTTGTGAAAGTCTCTCTTCCCTTAGCTGTAGTAACTACTCTCTTCTAGTTTTCCCGCTCTATTAGTAGACTTCTTTTTCCATCAACTTCACTGGATCTTTATTTTTAGCCTGCTCCTAAAATATAAGTGTTCCCCAAAGTTTCATCCTTGGCCCACTTCTTGCTTACTTAGTATCCTTGCCCCAAGCAATCACATCCAACTAGCCCGTTTTAACTAGCCTGTTTACTCATGACTCAGATCTGCAGTCCCAGTTTTCTCTTCTTAACTTTGATGTGGCTCCAGACAGCTATCTAGACATTTACGTCTTGATGTCCTATAGGCACCTCAAACTCAACATATCTGAAATAAAAGGTTTTTTTACCCCAAATCTGCCCTTTTTATACTTGCTATCTCATATGGGTAGAAATATAGATAGTAAAACAATCCTTCATCCTATTACCCAAACCAGAAGCTCAGGATTCATCCCTTTTCCCATCACTCCTTTATCTAGTCAATCACTGAATGCTATTGGTCTTACCTTCCAAATATCTCTTGAATCCGTCTTTCCTCTCTGTCACTACTGCCTGTGTCTTAATTTAGACCCTCATCATTTTTCACCTATATTGTTGCATTTCCTAAGTGGTTCTACTGCCTCCAATCTTGAATCCTCTCAAATCCATTCATTACACAGCCCTCAGAATAGTCATTTTTCATTTTAACAGCTCTGCTGAGATAAATTTACATATCATATAAACACACATGTAAAATGTACAATTTAGTGGTTTTTAAAATATATTCATGGAGTTAAGTAATCATTACCACAAACAATTTTAGAACTTTGTCATCACCCCAAAAAGAAACCCCCGCCGGGCACGGTGGCTCATGCCTGTAATCTCTGCACTTTGGGTGGCTGAGGTGGTTGGATCACCCAAGGTCAGGAATTCGAGACAGTCTGGCCATCATGGTGAAACCTTGTCTCTACTGAAAATACAAAAATTAGCTGGGCATGGTAGCAGGCGCTTGTAATCCCAGCTACTCGGGAGGCTGAGGTAGGAGAATCACATGAACCCGGGAGGCAGAGGTTGCAGTGAGCCAAGATTGCGCTACTATACTCCAGCCTGGGTGACAGAGTGAGACACCGTGTCTCAAAAAATGTAAAGAAACCCCCATACCTGTTAGTCACTCCCATTTCTCCTTAACTCTCCTCCCTCTCTGCAGCCCTAGGCAAGCACTAATCTACTTTCTGTTAGTGGATTTGCCTGTTCTGGAAATTCATTTAAATGGAATCATGCAATCTGTGGTCTTCTGTGACTGGCTACTCTCACCATAATGTTTTTGAAGTTTATACATGGGATGGCATGTATCAGCACTTTGTTCCTTTTTATTGCTAAATAATATTCCATTGTATGGATGTAAGTTATTTTGATAGAATCGTCTTTTTTTAAAGCACAAATCTGATCTCTTTCAGCCCCTTATTAAAGTGTTACAGGATTGAGCCCAAGTAATCTCACTCCATTTTTTTCTCCTTCTCTCCCCTACTATTCTCCCACTTTAGATTGATTGATCGATTATTTGATTGGTTGATTGATTTTGAGATGGAGGCTCACTCTGTTGTCCAGGCTGGAGTGCAGTGACGCAGTCTCAGCTCACTGAAGCCTCCACCTCCCGGGCTCAGGTGATTCTTCTGCCTCAGCTTCCCAAGTAGCTGGGATTGCAAATACACACCACCATGCCTGGCTACTTTTTGTATTTTTACTAGAGATGGGGTTTCACCATGTTGGCCAGGCTGGTCTCGAACTCCTGACTTAAGGTGATCTGCCCACCTCGGCCCAACCTCAGATTTTATACATTAGTAATGTTGAACTACTTAGTTCTATTCTACATCTTTGGGCCTTTGCCTGAGTCGTTCCCTCTGCCAGTAATATCTTGCCCTGTTTTTTTCCTTGGCAATGCCTTGATCCTTTTCAAAACCCTGCCAAATGTGTGTGAAATTACCTGTGTATTGAGTTCTTGCGGCAAAGTTTTAATAGCAAAATATTGGAAATTTCTTAAGTGCCCATTTATACAGTAGGAGGCTACTTAAATAAATTATAAATTATGGTATAATCCCACAATAGAAAAATATGCAACTTTACCACCCAAAAGAAGAAAGCATTTGTTTACTGATCTGTGTTAGTCTTGTATTAGTATTAGTCTGTTCTCATGCTGCTATTACCTGAGACTGGGTAATTTATAAGGAAAGAAGTTTAATTGACTCACAGTTCTGCAGGGCTAGGGATGCCTCAGGAAACTTAAAATCATGGCAGAAGGGGAAGCAAACACGTCTTTCTTCACATGGTGTCAGCAAGGAAAAATGCTGAGCAAAAGAGGAAAAGCTCCTTTTCTGATGGTTTTGTCCATCAGATTTCGTGAGAACTCACTCACTATCACAAAAAC